CCCTACCCTATCCTACCCTACCCTCATCGACACCACCCAATTTATAAACCCTTACATAGCCTAACACTTGTAAATCGTATCCTAGATTGCTGGGGATCGTTCGCCATTGCTCAAGCTTGCCCGTAGACCCTCAACAACGTTCAACGATGTTGGAGATCTCTCACCACCTCTCTGCCTTGAGTTGGGCAGCATTGTTCATTGCATTACATGGTGGCACTTTTTATATGGATTTAGATCTTGATCTCGAATCTTCTTGGTCGTCGAACTAGATCTTTGCAGCTATGTTTGCCTCTATGATACGATTGGCAAAGTTCAAGGATGGTGGAAGTGACGATGGCGAAGAGTGGCAGGCGATGAAGGATATATCCTTTTTTGGAGGCATGTGGGTGTGCCACGTGGGGTGTAAGGTTGGGGTGATGGCAAGCGTGCGGTGTCGAAAGTTGTGGTGACAGGTGATGGTGGTGGCATGGTGCAATGGAAATCAATTGTGGTGTAGTGGTTGGAATTGTGACTTGGGACTTGGTAATACAGGTTAAAATGTAAGGATGTGTGTATTTTTCTACTAAACACTCTAACAACCTCGTTATCTTTAATTATTTTAAAGAGCATATTTATAATTTTCTTACTCCCTGTATGTATTTATTATTTTTTCTATTTTTTATTTTCACCAACTTCCCTTCAAATTATTATATGACTTCATTTTTTTGTACGTACTATTTAATTGGGTCAATATATTGAGTGCAGTAAATTGAAATATTTCGAATGCATTTTATTATAGAGAGTGAGTCTCTCTTTTAAAGCAAATAAATAGACTTTTTAAATAAAAGATCCTCTATATTTTAAAGATAAAACCTTTAAAATTATAGTACAAGATATTCTTTAAAGTAAAGTTTTAATTTAGAGAGAGAGTTCGTCGCTCCAAATTTTGAGAGACAAACCCACACTCAATAATTAGATGCATTCAAAATATTTCAATTTTTAAGGAAAATAATATAATAATTTGGAAGGGAGTTATTGAAAATAAAAGATAGGGAAAAATAATTATCTTTTTTAAAGAGTATATTCTACAATTTGAGAACATCCATAAATTAAGAGAATAAAAATTTTCAAGTACTTTAATAAGCTCTTTATATTTGGATGATTTCAAGAAATTGACATATTAAGTGGGGAAAAATTAATAAATGTATATTGGTAAATGAATACGATAAAATATTTTACATTAGGAAACATGCTTATATATTTTTAGAGGGTACCAAAAAAAAAAAATTAAATGTTGCAACAGCCTCTTTATCTTTGACACCTAATTTTACTATTCACAATATGTATTTATTATTTTTTCCTATATTTTATTTTCACTAACTTCCTTCCAAATTATTGTATTATTTTCCTCCATTGAAAATTGAAATACTTTGAATGCATTTAATTACAAAGAGAGTCAAACCCACTCTCTAAATTAAAGTATCTCCAAAAGACCATCTAAATACAAAATGCTCATTATTTTAGAAAGTCAATGCTTAAAAATGAGTTTCAAGATACTCTCTAATTTTAACTTTTTAAAACAAAGAATAAGTTTGGCTTTCTAAATTTAGAGAGCCAAACCCACTCTTTATTCTTAATGTGTAATGATAACATTTAATAAATGGTAATTATATTCTCGAGACAATTTTTTAATTACATTTTCAATATTTGTTCACTTTTACTTTTATATCTTCAACTTTTACTTGTTGCACTGTCATTCTTAACATTCAACTAATTAACATATTTGTATATAATCACGATTTTCATTCAAATATTTTACTAATGCCCACTGAAACAATGAACATATATTTTGTTTTTCTTTTGTATTAGTTATTTATTTCAGTTATTTGAAAATACGAGAGATAAACATGTATTTTTGGCTCTCATTACAAATATTTTGGATGAAAATCATCTATACGGACGAGGTTTGACATTTAATGGAAGGCTAATGATTAATTTTTTTTTAAAAAAAGTTGTAAACATAAGTGTCAAAATAAGAAAATTTTGGGGATATTTTTTGTAAGTAAAATATGGTGTAATTAACAAAAAATGTGATGTAAATAAATTTACCTTTTAATAAATCACATATTTCAATACTCTACTTTTAGAACTATTCAAACCACGTTTAAATTTATTGGTCAATCAACAAATAAAAAATTATGTTAAATAAAATATAAAAGAGAAATCAACAAATGTTTATCGAGAAAAGCAAAATGAAGAGTCAAAATAGAGAATTTGTTAGAGTTTATAAAATTTTTTGACTCTCTAAATTTAAATATGATCCCTATAATATATAAGATTTTTTTTTCTATAAATAAAGCGTTTATTGAAGATGCTCTTAAATTGTTAATTTAAAAGAATTTTTTGGAGCACAATTTCAAGACCTGACTCTTGAAAATAGAGATAATTTCTAAGAGATATTTTAAAAAACTATGTTACAGCAGACTCTTTAAATTAACATTTTAATTTAGAGTGTGAGTTTGTTTCTCCAAATTTGAATAGCAAAACCTACACTCTATGACTTAACGCATTCAAAAAATTTCAATTTTCAGTTGAGGAAAACAATATAATAATTTAGAAAAAACTAGTGAAAAGGTAGGGAAAAATAATAAATATTCATTGGGATTTGGGAGTGGTAAAATTAATCATTTTTTTTGTGGGGATTAAAACTAAATTTTTAGTAAATTTTGATAGAAATTGATGAAATGTATGGTTGAAAAGTCGTGGGATCCATAAAACTTATAGTTTAAATTAATTATTGATTTTGAATTAAATTAAAATCTAAATTTTAATTGGTAAGTGTTAAATATAAAGAGCTTATTGAAGTACTTAAAATTTTTTATTCCCTAAATTTATTGATGCTCTACTAATTGTAGAATATTACCTTTAAAAATAAATAATCTCTTATAAATGCTCTAAAATGTTGATTTGAAAGGTTTATTTGGAGCATAATTTTAAAAATGGGTTAATTTCATAAACGGTCACTGACCTTACGCAAAAATAACAAAACGGTCACTGAAGTTCAAAACTTGCAGAAACGGTCACTGAAGTTTCATGCACTTTTACAAACGGTCACTAGAGGACCGTTTTGCCTTTAATTCAAACATAAAGGACCAAAGTGAGCTCATCCGAATTTTGGACAGTTTTAAGGTGCCAACTTTGGACCACCATAACTCCGTCCTCCGGTCACCTTTTGCCACGAACCAATATACCAAATTGAAGCCCTCAATGCCCTCTTAACAACCCACCCAACCACTTGCCGTTATCCCTTCGGAATTGGCCGGAAAATAGAGCCAAAGTGAGCTACTCGGATTTTGGACAGCTTGAAGGNATTGAAGCCCTAAATTCCCTCTTCAAATCCCACCCAACCAATGGCCGTTATCCCATCGGAATTGGCCGGAAAAAGGATCCAAAGTGAGCTACCCACTCACAGCCGGATTTTAGACAGCAAGCTGTGTGTGGGTAGCCCACTTTGGGGCGATTTCCGGACAATTTCGAAGGAATAACAGCCAGTGATTGGATGGGTTTTGAAGAGGGAATTGAGGGCTTCAATATGGTATATTGGTCCGTGGAAAAAGGTGGCCGGAGGACGGAGTTATGGTGGTCCAAAGTTGGCACCTCCAAGTTGTCCAAAATCCGGGTAGCTCACTTTGGCTTGATTTTTCGGCCAATTACGACGGGATAAAGGCCAGTGGTGGCTGGGTTGTTAAGAGGGCATTGAGGGCTTCAATTTGGTATATTGGTTCGTGGCAAAGGATGGCCGGAGGACGGAGTTATGGTGGTCCAAAGTTGGCACCTCAAAATTGTCCAAAATCTGGGTTATCTCACTTTGGTCCTTTATGTTTGAACTAAAGTTATAACGGTCCTCCAGTGACCGTTTGTGAAAGAAACTTAAATTTCAGTGACCGTTTTTGAAAGTGTATGAAACTTTAGTAACCGTTTCTACAAGTTTTGAACTTCAGTGATCGTTTTGCTATTTTTGCGTAAGTTCAGTGATCGTTTGTGAAATTAACCCTTTTAAAAATTGACTATTTCAAATAGAGAGTATTTCACCTTTAAATAGTTTTTTTTGAAAATGCTTTCAAATAGTATAGCGAGTTTGACTCTCCAAATTTCAGTCTAAATGTATTAAAAATATTTCAATTTTAATTAATAAAAATAATATAATAATTTGAAGGAAGTTATTGAAAATAAAAGATTAAAAAATAATATTTTTTTAGAGTAGCAAGTGCTAAAGATAAGAATAATGCTATTTATACTATCGGTATTAAAACATCAATTTAGATGATATTAATGTGACATTAAACGAGATATCAATTAGGGTTTGTTCAAGCCCCCTATTTTTTAGTAGAATACATTTTGAAATAATAAATTAATGGAGAATATACGATTAAAAATAAAAGATTTTTCTTGATTAACGTGTAATATCATTTTATTGGAAAATATATGGTTGAAAAGAAGAGATAAAAAAATGTATTTTGAAAAAATTGGGGATCAAACAAGGTCTTAATTAGAGATATATATCTCTTTGTCTTCCTAAAAGACTATTTTTTACATATTCATTTTTAACTATATGTTCACACGATAAAATATTCATTTTTAACTATACATTCACACGATAAAATATTCTTCACGTAATTGTCAAATTTTTTCTTACATTTTAATCCCACGTTCTAAAAAAAATAAAATTCACTATATATATATATTATTATTATTATTTTTTTTTAAACCATGCCACCTAAATTATTGTTCGAGCACCAACATTTCTATATAGCCATCGGAGATGGTCACATGTAAAGTTGCAATCGAGCAGAGGGCATCGAAACTCAAAAGCTCTTGCTGTCCCGCGATTTTCCCCGTCATTTTTTTTCACTCCTTAGGGTTTTCTGCAAATTCTATATCACAATACATCCATAATCCACGTAGCTAGGGCATGCTACTGTATCTCTATATGAATTGAGAAAAAATAGAGAGAGAAAGAGATGCCGTTGTTTCTATCCGATGACGAATTTCAGCGGTACTCGCACGACGCATCGCTGGTGGCGGAGAAGGCGGATTTATTCATACGAGGACTATACAATCGACTCGAGACCGTGAGGGCTGAGGCGGACGCCGCCTCCATCACCGCTGAGCAGACGTGCTCTCTTCTCGAACAGAAATACGTTTCTCTCACTGCGGAATTCTCCGTCATACAATCACAGCACTCACAACTTAGCTCCTCTGTCGATCAAAGTGCCTCGGAGCTTCAACTACTACAATCTGAAAAGAAACAACTTGTTCTCCAATCCGTAATTTCGTCTTTCTTATTTTATGTGCTGATATGCTGTCAATTAAAGCACTTGGGCGAAGATAGAAATTTAATAGTTTTTCTGGTTTTGTGTTTTGTTTTGGCTACTAAAAAAGATCGAGAAAGATGGGGAGGTTGAGAAGTTGACTAGGGAAGCCACGGAGCTTCACAAATCGAAGAGGCAATTGATGGAAATCCTTGAGGCAAAGGATTTAGAGATCAGTGAGAAAAATGCAACTATAAAGAGCTATTTGGATAAGATTGTATGCTACCCGTACTCCATCATTGATTTCCATTAGCACTTAATTGTTTATCATAATCCCAAGGATATATGGAAATTATATTGAAGTCGCATGTTTAAATTTTGACTGAATTCTAATGTGATGCTCTATATAAAGTTTGTGCCTAGCATTGTGACAGTAAGGACTATTTGGCATGACCTCTAGTAAACTTTTCCCTGGACTACTTGTTAAAGGTCAATTTGACTGAAAGTGCTGCGACAAAGGAAGCACGGCTGGGTGATTTGGGGTCTGAATTGACACGCTCCCAAGCTTCATCTGCCCGTCTTTTGCAGGTAACCTGAACTTTTCTTGAATACTATGCTATTTCTGTTTTAGTTGTTTGGTTTAGACTTGAGGAGTTTCTTGTTCGTCTTGAGCTTGCATCTGCATTTCCCATAACTCTTAACCTATTGTCCTATTCTTACCTACACAAAGGGTAGGTCTTTTCCTATATATATATATAGTTGGCTACAAAGTTGTTCACATTGTGAACTAGTTTAATAAACACGCACCTTTCTGTATATTGTTGTATAATCATACAAAATTAAACATATAAAAATAAGATAGGTGCCTGTGGCTTAAATAAACAGGAGATGATAGAAACTTCAGTGGTTTAATCGTTCATTTAACTGTTTGTTCTCTAATCACAGGGACTGGACCCTCTAGGAAGTGCTAGTCACATGAGTTTTGGTTTTAGGAAATGACTACAGATATTAATTACAAAGTATGTTATTTCAGTTAGTAAAAAATCTCTTCAGTTTCATATATTTGCTGTTGACATATTTCAATCTTGTTTGAACATTTAATTTGGTCCGTCTATGTAATATAAGATTATAAGTAAATGCTTATTTATCTGATTATAATATTATCCGTGTGTGAAATACATGTATGCTTCATATATGAGGATGATCTCACAGTTTAGTTTAGTCTTGGATTTATAGATACTACCTCCATCTGTAGTTAGACCACTTTGATCGACTTCTACTAAAATTTGCGTGTTTTTAATACTCATTCTTCTAACCAATTTTTTTCCCTGAAAAGTTGCATCTGATTTGAATTTCTTTTACCTTACATTTTTTCTTTAAATAATCTCTTCATTTGAATGAAATTGTACTCTATATGTATTCAAAGACAAAAAGTTTCGATGATTCCTGTATTGAAGTCCAACACTACCATCTAGAAGCTTTTCACCATTAAAATCTCTAGTAAATCAATGTGACATAGTTTAGAAAAACCACATAGATGACTAAACTTTGCATACATTTAACTTTTGCACGCATTTTTCCCGTTATGGATGCTACAATTGGTCAATGGTATTTTTTGTGCTTCTTTCTGAGAGAACTTTGAGCTTACAAATACTGGCATATTAAGATCAAGAAATTATACCTTTTTTACTCTTTAAGAACATTGCCACGTAAATAATGCTAATTCATTTGTACTTATGTCATGGTTGAGCAAACATTGAAATGCTGCCATTCGAATTTCTAATCTAATTACCTACATTACCTGTTTGCACTATTTTTACACCACCTCACGGCACAAAGCTAACAAAAGATGCCTTTTTCGTTTCACATCTCACTATCACTATATCGAATTTCAAATATATCCCACACTTTTTGTTATGTTTTTGATTTATTTTGGAGTAATGTTATTTATCATCATGACGATGGAAAACCGGTGATGTGGCGGCCCATCACACGACATCCAAAAATAGAAAGCTAGTCAAATACCATGAGAGTAGTACCATACATGAATTTATCTAAAGTAATAGTAATTATTGGGTATTCAAAATAGTTTTAGTAGATGGAATGAGTCAGATCCTGTGAAGCTTGCTAATATTTAGGGGGTGTTTGACACCCATTTTTGTGAAAGAATGTGTTTTTGAATAGTGATTGATGGAAGAATGTGTGGTTAAAAAGTAAGGAGAATTTTTAGGTTTATGTGTAATATTATTTTATTGATAGAATGTGTGGTTGAAATGAAGAAAGAGAAAAAAAATGAGAATGAGAATGAGAATTGTGTGGTTAAAAAGTAAGGAGAATTTTTAGGTTTATGTGTAATATTATTTTATTGATAAAATGTGTGGTTGAAATGAAGAAAGAGAAAAAAAATGAGAATGAGAATGAGAAAAAAATGGGTGCCAAACGGGGGCTTAGAGTAGATGTATCCGCATGTCAAGTTCTAGCCTCTTTCTCTGCCTTTCTTTATGAGCTTCCTTTTGATTGAGCTAGACTTTGAAGTTTGCACTCCATTGAATTTATGATAGTTATGTAAAATGTTGCGGCACTTGGTTGCTTCTTTATCACTTGGTATCAAACTCACTATATTTTCTTTTGCTTGATTTGCAAATTATTGACAGCTGAGTGATTTCGTTTATGAAATGTTAATTTTTGTTGGGTTTTATTTTGACACGAGCAGGAGAAAGAGCTTTTTGAGAGGCATAATGTGTGGCTTAATGAAGAGTTAACGTCTAAGGTTGATAGTCTTATTGCACTGCGTAAAACATATGGTGAACGTGAGGCTGATATGTCTGCTAAGCTTGCAGATGTAAGCGTAAATTTATTACTTCAACTATCAAGGACAGAAAATCTAGATTGCTCATGCGTATCTTAGAGAATTCTGCTTTTCTTCATTAGATGCTGTGTTAGTGATTTGAGATTATCTTCCCCCAATGCCAGGTTGAGAAAAAATTTAACGGGACTTGTAGTTCCTTAAAGTTGAACAAGGGAAGGGTGGAAGAGTTGGAATCGAAGGTTGCATCATTAGAGAAGGTATGTGCTGTTAAGTTTTCTTGCCTGTACACTGTCAAGTTGACTTGTTCATTTTTTGTACTTTTTGTTTTATCTCTCGTCTTCTCATTTCTCTCGATCATTCTTGAAGGAGTTACTATCATCTAAGGATGCAGCAGGAGCTGCAGAGGAGCACTTTACTGCTGAAATTTCAACAGTAAGTCTATATCTATGTGTATAAGAGGTCAAATTCTTTGCACTTATATTTTGCAATTCTTTTGATCTTGGATTCCTCGTGCTTTGCTAATATTTCTATTAAGGGGTGCCTTTCTTGCGGTTCAAGCACTGATTTGATTATCCCCTTCCTTTTATCTAACTACTGTCCTGTGTGGATATGTTAAATTATTAACGTATGGACGAGTATAGTTGGGTTGGAGGGGAAATTTTGTTTAATGTGGGTATACTTGGAATGGTGAATGCGCATGATAGTGGATGAACTTGAGTGATTATGATTGCATGGGAAAAGCGCCGACCATGTCTACTGTGGATAAGTGCATTTGGTCAAACATAGTGTTATACATTTTAGAGATTGTCATCTAATTTTACTTGTATTGAGGTTTTGAATGTGGTTCTACCTGCTATTTCAGTCAAAACAAAGAGACTGATGTAACACAATCAACCTGTCTTGAATGAGAATGCATTGTTAAGTTTGGCCGTGTTGTGGCTTATCTTTTAATGATCAAGTGTAAACAATTCATATCTTTGATGAAATTGATTCCCATCGTTTCAAATTTACAAAATTTACATTTCATGTTGTTGTTATATCTGTTCTGTACAATTATTGATGCTCGCGTTACTCCTGAATGTTCTCAACCTCGTAGGTAACCAAGCTTGGGGAACTATATAAGGAGAGTTCTGAGGAATGGTCCAAAAAGGCAGGCGAGCTTGAGGGAGTAATCAAGGCTTTAGAAGTGAGCACTGTTTGTAGTTTATTGTAGTTTGATATCCTGACTTTCTGAACTCTCCACACCTAAATGCGTGCACACAAAGAATAGCATTTGGACACATAATCTCCTACTCAAATTGAATGTAAAGATAGTGTTCTGAAGATGGGTGAGATACTTTTGGATATTATTGTTCTGTTATCTTTGCTCTGTAGACTCATCTAAATCAAGTTGAAAATGATTACAAAGAGAAGCTTGAAAAGGAAGTTTCTGCAAGGGAGGAAGCAGAAAAGGTGTGTTGTATTTCATGTTCATTTTTCTTAAAATTAGATGTTTATAAAAACTAGTTAACATTCTGACAAGTTTTGTAGCTTTCATCTTCAGATTATTCCAGTTAAGTAGTATGTTTGTTTGTTGTTAGAGTGACTTTTCGTTTGTCTCTTTTGGATGGAGTAGGAGGCTGCCAATCTGAAAGAGAAGCTCGGGACATGTGAAGCGGATTTGGAGAGTTGTAGGAAAGAAAGCGAGCTTAAACATCTTCCTCTGAGTAGATTTACGACTGATTCGTAAGTTAGATCACAACTTCATATGTAATTATAAATAGGGACACAGCTACACATATTAGAGAGGACGATCTCTTTTATTATTACCTTGCTTTTCCTTATTGACAATATTAGTTATTTCAGCTTTGTGTGTGTGTGTGTGTTTATGGATGTATATATGTGTGTGTGTGTGTGAGTGCAATATACCATGCCAGCTTGTCTAACCGAGGACATTATACTAATTTCTTCTAGAAAGAGAGATTAAAAAAAAACATGAGAAAATTATCAACCTTAATTGGATGCCTCCTGTAACGAATTTTTATTTCCTATTATTTTTGAAAACCGCTGGTTTTACCTTTTATTTCCTTCTTAATTCACCTGTCATGTTCTTAGAGCTGGAGAAATTTTTTTTTCTGCTCTGTTGATGTTCATGATTACTGTTTTACTTTAACCACATTAAACAAATAGAATGTTTTGAAATTAATGCTTTAAATTGATTGATCTGTTTACACTAGTAAATATTCATGCATAATATGTGGATATTTACCCTGTATACTTACAGGTGGCCACGCTCAGTTGAATGTGATTATGTGGTGGAGAATGATCGCATGATTGTACCTAGGATTCCGGCTGGCATTTCTGGAACAGCATTGGCAGCTTCGCTTCTTAGGGATGGTTGGAGTGTGAGTTGCAGACTTGTCTATATTCTGTTCAACTTGGTTCATAGAAGGCTCTAAAATTCTTCACTGGACATCAATATTCAAATAATTTAGTGTGTTGACATGGCCTTTTTTATCCTCATAGAATTACTTGGCTTCTTTTCATGTCATGTTTATTTTGTCTGAAAAAGCTTTTACCTTTTATTTGTTTAGCTGGCCAAAATTTATGCCAAATATCAAGAAGTTGTTGATGCTCTGCAACACGAGCAACTGGGGAGAAAGCAAACCCAAGCTATCTTGGAGCGGGTATGTTACATTCAACAATTGCAGTTGTATTTGGTGCCAAACTGATGAATTAACTATTTCATTTTTGGTTATTTTGCGAACTTTCAAAATGCGGAGCTATCTCACTAGGTTCTGTCCCCCCTCTGCTCCCCATCTTTCTTGTCTCTTTGCTGAAGTTTGTTATTGAAATTGATATAATGTGTTTGGTTTCTGTCATAAATGCTTCTACGTTGTTGTCCTTAACATTAAAAACATCTCTCTTCAAATACTCAGTGACCTTTCTCTAAAGAAAATCTGATTGGCTCTAATCTTGTTATAGCACTTTTTTCTGTGAGCTGTTGTCGTCTTACTAAATTGATTTTTAGGTACTTTATGAAATAGAAGAGAAAGCTGGACTCATCATGGATGAACGAGGTATGCTTCTACTTTTGGATCGAGAATTACCTCACTGTACCGTGTTGTCGAAGGAAGACACCATCCTCGAATGAGAATTTATCTTGTTAACTTGAGAATTGAGAGAGAGAAAGAGGGGGATGCTTTGATGATAATAGCAACATATTCCTGTGTGCAAGTGTCCATACATCCTTAGAATATATCTCTTTCATAAACACGAATTTAATATTATTTTCTAGGTTATTTTTTCTGCAAAGTCGACATTTTATATTATTCTACTTGCATTCTTTGAGTCAAATGCCGCCTCTTTGGTGGGGTGGGGGTGGGCGTGGGGGTGTTCTTGTATGGTGAATGTCCAAGGGTTTTGTACTCTCTTTGTGCATTAGCTTTAAAGTTTGCGCAAGGTAATCCAGTGGCTATGCCTTGGATCCACGAACAAGATAATCAGATGGTACATATGGCGGTGTCATTTTTCAAATAATGAGGGAAACAAGGAGAAAAGGGAACATTGTTAAGCTCCCCTTTTTGGTTACTAGTTAAACTGCATACATATTTGTCAATAACTGAAGAAGATATGCAGTTAATATAAAAATTATTGTGTACAGACAGATCTCATTTTGGCCTTGAACATTTGTTAGAGCTCATGTATCAGCATGTAGATTCACATGAATTACACTGTAAGGAATGGGGATTAATGTCCATTTAATATGATTTTCGTGTGCCTCATGTAGTATGGATGCTTTTATATGTGATTAGCTTTTTGCAAAATCTTCTAGCTGCAGTGACTTGTTGTGTTCTGTTTTCTAGTAGAAAAGATATTGATAGACAGAAGAAAAGTAAATAGGCTGAGGAAGTGAAAATTTTGCAGTCATGAAAAAATAGAAAATTCCAAGTCATTGCTTTTTAATCCATTTGCATATTCGTTGCTTGCTTTTAGAAGCACTTGGTATGATAAAAAGTTTGGTCTGTGATCATTTTCTAGCAAATATAATAATATGTAGGTTCTTGTGATTACCCCACAGCATAATCTAATATAATGCTGAGGGGAGCATATAAAGACTTGGCGTTAGCCTTTTAATCCCTCTTCTTTCAAACAATAATTTATGCAGTTACTGGAACAGAAAAGAAAGAGAAAAAGGGGATCTATGAAGAAAATAGTGCAAGGCCTGCTGTGTTGATAAATATGCTCTGAAGTTCATTTATTGCCTTTGTCTTCTTTTATTACGGAATCTTTTAAAAGTTATTATCTGCACCTCTTGGAAGCAAGAATAGAGAAAGTGAAGAAATGAAGTTTTTTCACAACAATTTGAAGCAACTTATGTTTTCTAAAATTTATCCTCCGAAAATTGAGCATGTTAGGTTTTATTTTATTTTCATCTTGTTGTATTCGGGGTTCGTTCAATGGTTTTCTTTTGTACAGCTGAACACGAGAGATTCGTTGAAGCTTCCTCTGTACTTGACGACAACCTGCAGCATTCACTTTCTGAGCAATCGGCT